CCAGGGCTGGAAGGGACCTGGAGGTCATCTAGTCCAACCCTGCTCCAGCAGGAGATTGTTAAAGTGAGTTTCTGTCTTTCGATCCCCGAGTCACATCACTACATAGCCACACCCGCCCAGTCACATTACCACCACCACCACCACCAAGACACGCCCACAGAACCGGTAGTAAAAAAAAAAATTAGATTTCACCACCGCCACAATTGCCTTCTCCAGGAGGGACCCTCCTCCACCCTCCTTTCGGCCGAGAGACCATCCTGAGCCATGGGACTTCCAGGACTTCTGTCAAGGCCCTGAGGATTTAATAGCTGCCAGCTGATGTAAGGTTGTAAGATGTCGTTTGTAAGCTGAAGGCTAGGCTGATGAAATAAGGATGATTCACTGCAGCTATGGCATAGCCCTTTTAAGACTCACACAAGTCTATATATATATAAGAGGGTGTTTTCTTCTTCTCGGCGTGTATTCAGTTCTCTCCTTGTGTCTGTAAGTGAACGGTAAGGGATTTTACCTTCTGCCTGTGTTTGCCTGTGTAGAGTTGCAAATAAACCACTGCTAATTGTCTCAAAGCTCTGTGTGCTGTGTTATTGCTCCTGGGTGTATCACATACAGTTAGTCACGCTGCCCAAAAACTCTGACAACGTCTGTTTATTTTCACGCTTCGGCCACTTAAAACCCCTTTTGCAAAAAGTCCTCTGCAGGGATGCGGGGACCCGGCCAGATCGGGCCTGGAAAGAGTTGCGAGTTTGAGCTCCTGAACCTTTGAGTCGGGGGTTCACTCCTTGGCAATGAGGGCGTTCCGGCGTACCATCATGTTCTTCGCCGTGGGCTTCATGACGCCGGTCAAGGCCACCCATCGTTTGCCCTTCCGGAGACCTTTGATGTCGGCCAAAGCCTGCATCTGTTGGGCTTCCGCCAAAACGTCAGGGATTTGAGGGCTGATCAACGGGTGAAGGTCCGTGTACTGGATACAGTGGTAGATCCGAGGCTGAGGAAAGAAGAACGTGGTTACACCTGCGTGGTCAGACTCTAACCTCTAAAGCAGTGTTTCTCAACCTCGGCAACTTGAAGATGTCCGGACTTCAACTCCCAGAATTCCCCAGCCAGCATTCGCTGGCTGGGGAATTCTGGGAGNTGAAAGCTGACTGGGTGACTTTGGGCCAATCGCCAGGAGACTGGGAGTTCTAGTTCTGACTTAGGTGTGAAAGCCGAGTGGGTGACTTTGGGCCAATCGCCAGGAGACTGGGAGTTCTAGTTCTGACTTAGGCATGAAAGCTGACTGGGTGACTTTGGGCCAATCACCAGGAGACGGTGAGTTCTAGTCCCGCATTACGCATGCCAGCCAGCTGGGTGACTTTGGGCCAACCACCAGGAGACTGGGAGTTCTAGTTCTGACTTAGGCGTGAAAGCTGACTGGGTGGACTTTAGGCCAGCCACCAGGAGACTGGGAGTTCTAGTCCTGAGTTTGGCATGAAAGCCGCCCGAGTGACTTTGGGCCAGTCCCTCTCTTTCCACCCGACCCACCTCACAGGGTGGTTGTTGTGAGGAAGAATAGGCAGAAGGAGTCTTAGATCTGTTCGCTGCCCTGAGCTGTTTCAGGAAATAAATAATATTGTCCTTTATTTATTTTTTTCTCCCCTACAGGAAACTATGGAGGATATCGATAAGAACGGAGACGGTTTCATTAATTTGGAAGAATACATAGGTGAGCCTGGCCATATCCTGCCGTGGCCCCCGTGGCCCCCATTGTTCAACCCCAGGAGAGGCCTTCATTGCCTCGTGCCGGGGGTCCCGTGGGGGTGTCCTCGTGAAACCTTTGGAAATGTCCTGAGTTGGCAGTCAACTGAACGATCCAAGATATAGTCCTTGACTTACAACCGTTCATTTAGTGCCCGAAGTTACAATGGTGCTGAAAAAAAAGGGACTTGGGACAGTTTTTTCCCCCCACGCTTACGACCGTTACAGCATCCTCGTGGTCACGTGATCAAAATTTGGCTGCTGACTTAAATTTACGGCGGCCGTATGGACACCCTTCAGCAGCCTTCCGACAAGGGAAGTCAACGGGGGAAGCCTGCTTCGTTTAACAGCCGTGTTACTCGCTTAAGGACCTCTGTGATTCGCTTAACTGGTGTGGCGAGACGGGTCGTAAAATGGGACCCTTAGCAGTAGCATTTAGGCTTACGTGCCACGTCCCTTTTTCAGCGACCTCCGATTAATTATGTATAAGCATTATTTGCCTATCAGCCCCCCAACTGTTTTAATCCCCTGAAACAGCCAGAGTCTCACTTAGCAATGGGAATATTGGGCTCAATTGTGACCGTAAACCGAGGACCACCTACGTGGTGCAGTTCCAACGCCCAGGGCCCGTCGCTTCGGATTGTGACCCTCCCGCCGTTCCCTCCGCAGGTGACATGTACAGCCACGACGGCAACACGGAGGAACCGGAGTGGGTCAAAACGGAACGAGAGCAATTTACGGAGTTCCGGGACAAGAACCACGACGGGAAGATGGACAAGGAGGAGACCAAAGACTGGATCCTGCCCTCCGATTACGACCACGCCGAGGCTGAAGCGCGGCACCTGGTTTACGAGTCGGATAAGGATAAGGTGAGAGGGCTTCCTCCGGGGAGAGGAGAGGGGAACCTGCCTGGGACGACGCAGGGCGTGGCACAAAGGCAACATAGCCAGAGGACCCGTATGAGCCCCTTTATTAACAGCAACTGTGCCCCCAACCTCCCTTTCAACTCTCCGGCTCCCACAAACCCATCAGTTGTTTCAATCTTTGGCTTCCTTTTTTTTCCCAGGACGGAAAGCTGACCAGAGAAGAAATTGTGGACAAGTACGATCTCTTTGTGGGCAGCCAAGCCACGGACTTTGGTGAAGCCTTAGTACGACACGATGAGTTCTGATCCAGGAATCTCCTTTTTCTTTTTTAAAAAAAGGGGAAGAAGTTGGGGCGGGGGGGTGGTGGAGAGGGAGGGAACGTTGTTTTTACCGTTTTCAGGATTAACACAGGAAAGGCTCTGCGACCGGAGACTCCGGTTCAGCCAAGAATTGGGGGGAGGAGGAGGAGAACCAGCCTCTTTCCCCAAGTGGTCCCATCCTCCTCCGCTTCCCACCCTGTCTTCCCTCCCTCCAAGGTGGGGAGGGGGGGGTCAGTATTCTGACCCCAAGATTTTGATTTTTTTTAAAAAAAAAAATTAGATTTGCATGTTCTTTTATGTCTAACAAGTTCAGTTTATTTTTGTATTTTTTTTTTTTTTTTTGGTTCCGTGTGAAATGAAGAATGTCTCTCCTGAAGCGATAGGCCTATCGGGGGACCGGGGGGGGGGCGCAGGGGGAGGACAGCCCTGTCCCCCACTTTTTTTTTTAAAAAAAATTGTGTTTCTTTTAAAGCCACAAAGTCGGAAAGCAGGAGAACAAGACACGGCCGAGAAGAGTGTGTGTGTGTGGAATCTACACTCAAAAGACCCCCCCCCCTGTTTTTTAAATCTTCCAAGAAAGCCCAACAGGAGAATTTGGGGGGCTCCATTTAGCTTCTCGGCCTCTGGACAGAAGGTCTCCCCGCTTTGAAGGCTGCAAAAATCTCGACTCGAAAATATCTGGGGGTCTCCTTCACTGCCCACATCCGATCACCCTCCAGAGCGCCCCCCCCCCCCGTGTTCCTCAGTTTCCCCAGCATCCCTCAAATTGCTTCATTTGTAGGAGCTGCGCGGGTCCTCTCTCTTCATAATTTTCAAGCTTGGTGATCTCCTCTTGGTGTCCGCTCCACGGATAAAGCGCCCGCTGGGGAGATGTCGAAGATGTCGAAGTTGACTCGGGTCTGTCCCAGGTCGAAGTACTAGCTTCTTCTCCCAAATTGCCACCCCAGTAATGTAGAGTAGGGGGGTGAACCCACATCTGGGTCTTTAGAAGGAGAGGGAGGGGAGAGGGGGGGGGCTGGCAGCTTTCAGGGCGCCCGGATTTCCTGCCTTTTCGAAGTGCCTTTCTCATTCAAAAAAAGCAGTTTGACCCAACGAAAGGCGTGTGGCGAACTCAGGCCAAAACATTCTCCTAAAACGAGTTCAGAATAGCATGCTCCTAAAATTAACACACCTCCCTTTCCTTACGTGCTTTCTCAGGGTGGGGTGGGGGGTAGAAAGTGACCCCCCCCCAGGCCCCTAATCTCAGTCCTTCTCTCGCTGGAGAAGTCTCCTGTGCTTTGATTTTTTTTGGGAAATGACACCCTCGAATTTCCCGTCCGGCATTTCGTCCTCCCACCCACCCACCCACAATAATTTGGCAAGAGAAATATCTTGACGTTACGGCCACCTTAAATTAAACCACCACCCCCTTTCCAAAAAAAAAAATTGGTGCCGGTTTGTCAGGACTGCATCTTCACAAGCGGCGTGTGGATTTGCGGGGTTCGTTTTGACAGCGTACCGCTTTTGCAAATGAAATAATGCTATTTCACACACACACACACACCCCACTCTCCTCACCCTGCAAAACTCCAGGGAGAACATTTTGCCAGGCGCATAGCCCCCCCCTCCCGCCCCCCGTAAGCTTGCTTTCCCGCCTGGCTTCCTAACACTAATGGTGAATTTCTTAGAAAGGTTTTCTGAGTGCGGAAGCCCCTTCTAGCAAAAGGAAGAAACTTGAAAACAGTATTACTTCCTGGTCATTTTTAATCCCCTTTAGTGCAGTGGTTTCCAAACTTGGCAACTTTAAGAC